AAGAGTGAGAAAAACTCGTGGGTTGAGGTAAAGACAGTTTAATAGAACAGAAAAGGGAAAATAATAATAATAATGATAGAATATACAAAATGAGTGATGCACAATGCAATTGCTCACCACCCGTGCTGACCAATAACCAGGTAGCGATCGGTACTTCCTGGATCACGCCTACCATTCATATACTGAGCATGACGTCACATGGTATGGAATACCCCATTAGCCAGCTGAGCTGGCTGTCCTGATTATGTTCCCTCCCATCTTGTGTACCTAGCTCAGTCAGTAGGCACGGGAGCTGTCCTTGGACTGGGAGGGCACTTAGCAACAACTGTTGTGTTGCACTTAGCAACGTCAGTGTGTTATCAACATTCTCCTCATACTAAATCCAAAACACAGCACTAGGAAGAAATTTAACCCTATCCCAGCCGAAACCAGGACACCATAGTGAAAGAAAGAGGAAATAATCCAAGATTCCTGGTGGCATTCATGTCTTTCTCTCCATTTAGATACACGGGAATCACCTGCATTCTGCAATGCAGTAAGTCTGTGGAAACAGCAGTTCTTCTGCCTTCCTTAGCAGGATGTATTCCCTGTATTGCCCTTGCAGCAAGTAGGGTAACAACATACTTTCCTGTATTAGCAAGAGCAGTCGGAGTACCAAGGGATGTGATTATCCTGCTTTACCCAACACTGATGAGTTCACCACTTGAATACTGTGTGCAGTTCCCGCACTGAAGCACAAGCAATTTTGAGAATCTGGAGAGAGTCCTGCTCAACTTCCATGAAATCACTGGGAGTGGGAGCAAATGAAATGCATAGAAAGGCTTGGTTTGGCATGGGGGAATCTCACTGCAGTCTTCCACTACTGGAGATTATAATGAAGACAGAGCCAACTCTTCTAAAAATTGGCCAGGAAATGACAAAAGGGGCATATTGCAAATCTCAACAAGGGGATGTCTAACTGCATAGAAGTAAAAAAGCAAGCAAGCAAGCAAGCAAGCAAACAAACAAAAAACAAAAAAACAACCCCCAAAACCCCACTATAGTTGGAAAACACTGCAATAGATTTCCAGTGGGTGGTGAATCTCCACCCTCAAAGTTTTAAAACTCTTCTGGACAAAGTCTTGAGCAACCAAACCTAGCTTTGAAGGTTAGGTCTTTCCCCTGCTTTGAGCAGGAGGTTGTATTATTTGACTTCCAGAGGTGCCTTACAATGTAAATTCATGATCTTATGAAGTCTGATGTCACCATAAACTTTTCTCAGGTATTACCATTGTGTTAAATGATGGCACAAACTTCTGGATTGCAGCACTGTGTACTTGACTACTTATCAAGAAAACAACCCTCATCTGTTTTAGGATAGCCTGCTAGAATCCTATTGTCACTTCTGGTTTCCAAGGATTTCAGAGCTTCCAAAGTTTCTGGGCTGCTAAGCGTAGCAGGATATAAAATACCTCTGTAGGAAAACAGCATGCTTTCTGGGGGAATATTTTCACTCCGTGAAAAAGAATTTTCCACTATTTCGATGACTCTTTGCCTGTTTCTGCTCATGTTTGTATCCCTGTGGAACTCTTTTCAAACAAACAGATACACGCTGTCTTTCTACAATGTAGAAAATCTTTATGCACATATTAGCAAATCAGATAGAACATTCACTCAGGAATGAAGGTACAAGTCACTGATTAACTCTGTACTCTGTTAATGCCTTTTGAAATTACAGGACTGGAAACTGAAAATAGTAACATAGAGTCTTTGCTGCAGCTGATACTAGGAACAGGAATCTACTGGGGCAACAACTAATAGCATTCAAAATGTTAAATGAAACCAAAGAAAGACCTATAAAAAGGATATTCCCTGAAATATTTTTAACTGGTGAGCAATGCAGTGTAATTTGCAAACTGGACAACCAGCATGTAGTGGACACGTGGATAGTGGATCTCAACCTAGCTTGCTATTGACTCCACTAATGGGTACACACCCAAGGATGCAGCTTCTTCTATCCTGCAGTCAGTCACTGTAACATCATCGCTTCAGGTGATATCTCCAGAGCTAAGGACAAGTCCCACCTAAGCCATACTTCTCATGATTAAATACTCACACTTGAAACACTTACTTCACCAAATCCTACAGGAAGGTTATTTTCATATAAAGCTCTAATACTTACGTTCTGCATTAACATAGAATCAAATTCTACCTGTATGACTTCAGTTCTATTTCTCTCTACTTATGTAGATCATTTCGTCTTTGGGTGAAATTGTTCTTGATGGGGAAGTTATTGGTATTCTGCCTTTTCAGAAGATAAGGAATACCGAGATGGAGAAATAGGTATCTCCACAGGTCATCCCAACAGAGACATGCGATACAGGAAGGCTGAATTACCCTGTGGAGGGGCCTTTCATTCTTTCTTTCTTTCACGTCCTTGAATATAGTATGGGTTTCGTTCACTACCCATATATCAAACCCACAGAGAGCTCCACACTGCTGTGCATCACATCCTTGTCTCTTTCTTCATAAATGGATGTTAGACACTTAGTAAACCTATACACAAGCTTAATTAAGCATGAGGAGGTATCATATCAAAAGCACAACTGTAAGACCTGGAAGATTGCTTACAGTTACCTACAAAGAATCATTTAAAATTATTTTTCTGCTCTCCCGAAATGCAGAACCATCAAAATAGACCATTTTATTGGAAATATTTTCTCTAGCTGTGCTATTTTACTCATGAACACTGGAAATACCATTCATGTATTATGCCTTCTGGCAGCTTTGTTATTTTTTTCAGTTTTCTGTCCATGTGTTTACTCTGAGTTGCAAAGGAAAATCTCCTCCCATTTGCCAATACTGAAGAGTATGAGGATCAAGAAACTAGCATTTTTCCTCCTACCTTCAGAGCCAGCTGCCTGAATCCTGAGGGAGCCAGATCACTATAACAGCTGAACATGAAATCTAACAACCTGTCACCTGAGCCGCTGGGGACACGGGTGCCTCCGTGTCCTTTAACCGTTGGACCCTGATCTCTGCTCATGAGCAGGGCCCTGGATGCTGTCACAGCCGCCTGGCCGGCTGCTTAGCAGCTACAGAGGTGAGGGCTCAGAGCAGCCCTGTCTCTCTGGAGAGGCTCAGGGCACCCAGGTGTCCCGAGGGTGCTGGGACTCACAGTCCCAGCGCTGTCTGCCCAGCAGCCGAGTGTCTCGGGGTAAGCAGGTGACCCCGCAAGGAGGCTGTATGACTGTAGCACAGCTCACATGGTCCCCAGGGAAAACTCTGAGTTGTTCAACTCATCTACATGAAAATCTGCCTTGGATGGAAATGCTATTAGCAGGACCATTTGCAGTACAACATAAAGAGAAGATTTACCTTAGCCAAAGATTCACCTTGTTTTGGAAAACGGACTGGGGAAAGGACATGAGGTGGGAGATGGGTTAGTATAATTTTTCTGGTTTCTTCATCCTCTTTAAAGCAAACAGACAGAAATACAATGTAAGCATCCTCTTCAGTGTAAATACATAATTTCAGGAATCACAGGTAACAAAAAAGACTAGACCAGAAAGAAAGATACTTTTATTTTTGGAAAATTGGTAAGGATCTGGCAATGATAAAGTTTGAAAACCACTGCAATTGTGTCAGCCAACTATGTCTTACCTTGAAAAGAGATTCCCAAGTTTTTCTGAATTGATTCTCACACTCAATGCCTTCACATCTGCTTACTTTTCACTCCCTCAAAATGTTACTCATCCATTCAAGTTTCCTTGCCCACGTTCATTTTCTGACATAGCAGCTTGCCTTTTTCATCCTCCCCTCTCCCATCTCCTTACCCCACTGAATGCAAGGGCCTACAGAGTGTTTCTAATGGAGCAAAAGCACGTGAGATGTTACTGCTCTGAATAGCTCTGTCCTTCAGGGTGAGATTGTAAGGGCAGAAAGAGATTGAAGCCATAGCCCTGGGATGACGCAGGAGAGGATAAACTTCAGAAACAGGTCATGGTCTGGTTTTCCATCAGATCAGCAAGGGCACATCTACTGTTTATTTTAATTTAAGTGTTCTCCAACTACTTTTAATCTAATTGGTTCAATAGACTAGTGGTGATGTAGTAGTATTATCTGAGAAATTACAGATAGAGTTTGTGTTTCCCTTGGGAGCAGTGTAGCACCCAGTCTTTGCAGAGATTGTTCCCAGACTCGGTAACAACTACCTACATAATCTCTCATCCGAAAATGCTGCAAGGGTAACAGTTTTTGAAGATCAACAATTTCCCCTTCTTAACTAAAGTAAATGTGCTACTTGCATTTACTTCTCAAAGCCCACTGTGCCTGGAAAGCCTCACTGCAAGCAAAGGCTCTTGTGCAGTATCCATGTCTGAAAACTCAAAAGCTGCCATGAAATTGCAATAGGATTCAGCCAGTGAGAATGCAGAATGTAACTCTCAAATCTGGTGTGGCTCTAATTGGGGAAAAAATATCATATAAGGAAGTCAGACTTGGTAAAGTCTTGCCTGTTTCATAAACTGGAGTGTTTAGTGACAATTTAATTAATGCAAGAAGAATTGACGCAGACAGGGGATCAATAAGAACATGGAAAGCTGGTCTGCTGTATTCCAAGATGCCTACAAGTATAGATCTAGAATATGACTTAATATGACTTTCTAGCCTTTCCCCTGTACTGCTAAAGTATCAAGAATGTTTATCTTCTCCCTGCCAGATGCTTCCTTAAATTTCTCTGCAGCCTCCCTAAGCAGCATTCTCCACTTTAGACTGACCTGCAACCACAGGCTGTATTAATTATTGTCTGTGTCTTAGGTATGATCCTCCTGTTACTGTAGACCAGAATAAGATTTGACCTTTTTTTTTCCTGCACTTTCACCATGTTAGACCTTGGTGAGTGTGATTCCTCAGGTCTTTTCATGCCAACTGCTGCATGACTGGTTTGCCCCCATTAAGTACTTGTGCCTTTGGTTTCTCTTTTCTAAATGTAGCATTTTACACTTACCTTTACTGAACTTCATGTTTGCCAACCTTCATCTCAATTTGTTATGATGTTTTGAATTGTTTCCCCATTTTCCCCAGTACTTTCAGCCCTCTGTTCTGATTCCCAGACTTAAAAGTCAATCATATATGATATAGATATTAGTCTGTCCACCAGTGTTAAGAACAGTGTTGAATATGACCAGGACTCACCACTAAAGGATATTGCTTTAATTGTCCTCCCAATTTTGCTGTCATCCAGTATATGAAGTTTGACCATGAGCACACGATTGCAGTCAAGTTCATAACAGCCATGTAAACAAGTGAATATTCCTGAAAGTATTGCTGCTGATGACCCTGATTCTGGATGCCTTTTGTCACTGTTGTATGAATTTCTAGGAACACAAATCTATTTTCAGTACTTTAATTTTATTTCTATAACCACATTTGTAAGTTGTCGTCTCCGCATATGACACCATAAATTTGTTGATCTAGATTGTGTCTCTTTTGTCATATAATTTCAGAACCTCTCTGATGCTGTCATTTATTGTATCTTCTGTCTATGGCTTAATCAAGAGTTAAATTATGTTTTAAAGAAGGAACATGAACAGCTTTGACATGGTTTATACTTATCACCTTATTATCCTCAAAATGTTTCATGGTTGGTTGTTTGGTCATTTTTGCTAGTAAATTTCCAGGTATCAAGTTAAGGTCTATTGCTCTATTTTGATTCTTCTTTCTCACATTTTTAAACACGGCCATTATGTATGTCCTTCTCCAGGCATCTGGTACCTTTCTGGGCTCTTACAGATAATTTCTAGTTGTTCAGAGATGGCTTGTGTCAGGACTTTCAGATGCTCTGCTTTTGAATCTATTCATTTTTTCTAAATCTTTTAAGTATTATTTCTAGCATTCCTGTTTCTTTGGAAAACTCTGCATTTCTACGTGTCCAGGCAGAATTAACCAGCTTTAGAAGAATGAAGCAAGAAGTCATCGAATACTTTATTCTTTCCTAGTGTATCTTTTCTTTTTACTTCTTATCTGCTTGGGTGATGGATCTATAAATGGGGTGTGTTTTTTTCCTGTTTTTAATTCAACTATATTTAAAGAATCTTGTTTTGCTATTTTTCTAGGTGGCTGAAGTGCAGTTGGTCCCCAGACAGGTCTGAAATACTGTGTCCACAGTGCCAAATACCAATGCCGGTACAAAATAGCTGAGTATAGTAATGTCTTGCACCATCACTCTTGACAATCCCATTTTCTCAATACAGCTATGTCAGTGAATTTTGGCATCTTCAGTTTCAGAGAATTTCCAGTTATGGAAATAAATTAATACTTAAACACTGAAATAGATTAAAGTTAAAGCTTAACTGTAGGCACATATGTAAATCAAGAATGAACAGAGGGAATGCTAACTGTAGTTTTGTGGTAAGAGCGCTCCACTGGCATTAATGGTGGGAAACATCATCTGTATTCACTACATTTTCGTTTCCTATTTTATGGCTGGAGCATGGGAAACATAAAAGCAGTTCTTAGAAGTGGCACGTAGGTGTATAGATTAAGGACTCTCTTCAAACACAAGAAAA